GATGAGGAGAGCCGAGCTCGGGAGAGACGCGGGCGAAGGCGGCAGGAGCCCGGCAAACGTCTCTCACCGGTCCCTCGGCCGACGCTCGTTCTCCCTCCAACGCTGATCCTGGTGATCCTGCTCCTGCAGTCCCTGAGATCAGAGACCTGGGGACTGGGTGGGGGCAGCATGGCGTGCAATTAGGGCGACATTATAATGCACGCAATAAACGTCGTTCTGATGTTTCTTAATCAAGAGTATTTAGCTTTGCAGCCCCGGGGTATATATGCTGCAGAACTGCACAATACATTGTAGGTAGTGCTCGGCAATTTGAAAACGTGGCAGCAATCATTTCAGTATAGTCCCTAAATCCTGATCAGGGCCTACAAGCACCTGGGAAATTAAAGTGTTGAACGTGCATCGTACAGCAGATGCTATGCCCTTGGAGGATCCTGCTCCTCCACAGCCACTGGTCATGGCACAGAATCTTTATAGGGTTGACAGTATAGAAACACGTGTAGGCACCTACCTCCTCCCCCAAATCACGTACATGGACATGCGAAACAAAGACAGACATCACATACGACCTCAGAAGAATTTATCACACTGAGGAGAAATAAGAGTGAGATTCAGGTAGGAATAGAGCTACATATTCGGGAATTCACAATTCTCTTTTAAAACAGTACTTTGCAAGGTATTTCTCACCAAACATGTAAGAAAATTGCTTTGCAAGAGCACCAGCCTCATTGGTGCATCCAATATTGGCGGTGTCAGAAGAAGAGGGAACAAGCAGGGTGCTAACAAAATCCACACTTAAGAAAAGATAAAACCTGCCCCGTGTGGAGCTGCTGGGGGCTCGAATCCAGAGCCTGCTCTGATTTCCTACATGGCTCGAGCCGTGCCCTGCCACCAACTAAAATCAGCCTCCACAATCTGGCCAGCTACTTCTGGGAAAATAATCCAGAATCTGTATTTACAGGGGAGGATGTGCTTTGGAGGCATGACTCCTGAAAGACACCTGGAGGACGGCATGCTGCTGCACAGGCGTTAGGACACGGCGGCGAGGAACAGGCATTGCAGTTTTGGACGGGATACAGAAAAGCATAACGACACAGGCGAGGGCGGTGAGCATCTGCCTCGCATTTTCAAGAAGAGTGATAAATGGAAAGGAGCTGAAAGAGCCATGACTGAAGGAATCTGCAGGCTGGAGGCATTACGAAAGAAAAAAAAGAAATTCTGACTATCATAGGTATAACGGAATTAGTAAACTAAGCAGGGAGACATTAGTGATCTGTAAATATTTGAATGAAGTAAGTGGCATGAAGGGAGAAGACTGGTGATATGCTAATGATTTTAATGGGGTGAAATTAGGGAAGGGCATGTTTAAGCTGAGGATCAGGGTGGAAAGCTTTTGAATGGAGAACTGTAGGCTGGAAAATTGTCTCCCTAAGTGAAGTGGTGAAAGCTTTATTGCCTGAGATTTTAAATGCCAGATTAGGCGATATACCAGGGGACTCATTCTGAATATTCAGGGAGATGGGCTGTAAGATTAGGAAGGGAGAAGGAAAGGTAAGAGGTGGTACTGGCTCCAGGAATTTAGGGAGTACAGCCCAGCACCTCTTCTAGGCTCCTTTGGCTTCGTTTTATCATTCTTTGACCGCCACTGCCAAGAGTGAAATGATTTCAGCATTAGTTACCTCCACGGGGAAGTGGCAAGAACTCCTCCACCACGAAGAAATGCGGTTGAGAAACGGGCGTCTCGGTGGGACATCTCCAGACAGGATCACCGGGGAACAAAGCGGCAGAAGCTCCTTCAGCTGCGGAGGGGCCCAGTGGTGCAGCCCCACGCCCCAACTTCCAGGGGACTGTCACCGCCACCACCACCTCCCCTCTGCAGCACTTGCGCTTCCCCAAAGACAATGGGAGGAAATTAGCTCAGCGCTGGAGCAAACGGCAGGAGCGACCCCAAGCCACGCTCCTGTGTCAAAGTAAAAGCTGGTTGTGAGAACACTTTGGGCCCTAAGGGCTTCCAGGCTGGCTTCCCTCAGCCGGCTCTTGGCACAGAGAGCGGAGCTCCTCCGTCCCCGCTCCCATCTCTTCCCCAGCCCCGGGCCAAAAGTTTCCCTCCAGCTCCAGACTGGGAGAATGACTTTTCAAGAGCCCATCCCCATGCATCTGATGGCGGCACCCGTGGGCACATTGCTAAGCATCCTCTGCAGAAAGGAATATATAGAAACTTCACCTTCCAAGTAACATTTAAACAACGCCCGTTTTCCAAGCTGGGCTGCAGGCTGCCAAGCATCTGAAATCACAAATGCGCCGCTGAAACCCAGCCAAGCCATCCCCTCGCTGAGCGCCCGCTCCTTCGCAAAGTCACCCAGAGTCCTCCACAGCCACCGGTGGCGGCCAAACGGGGACCACAGGAAAGGTGCCCGGGACACTGCGGGGTTCACCCACCCCCGAGCTACAGCCTGTGTCTCCTGGGGAAGGAAGAGAGACAAAACCTTTCCTTGCTGCTGGGTTTTACCAGCCAATATTGGCTAATTAAGCAGCTGTGCTATGCTGCTTAATTAGCATTAAAGGCATATTTAGCAAGGGGCTAGAGGAAGCGTTTATTAGATTAGGTCATAGTTTTGGAGTTGTTGCTTGGTGTTTTTTTTTACCGGAGATTACACAGTTCAGGAAGGACGGTGTAATGCTGAATGACTCCAAGGCAGATGGAGGTAGTGCTGTATCCTCCCACGTAGGTAGTATCCAGTGAAGAGAGAAGGAACCGCAAGTTTTACTTTAAACACACGCTTACTGGTAAAGCCTCTACTTACTCGCTTGTGGGGTTTTTTTTCAGAAGAAATATTTCTGAATTGGAGAAGCAGAAATCTTCAGCCCAGTACTGAATTTTTTAACGAAGTGAGCGTATAAGAAAATGAAAAATATTTCTAAAGCCACTTGAAGTTACTAACAGCAGCTGTGTACTCAGAGACAAACTGAAGGATTTCCTGCAGCACACAAGGCGGCATGGACCAGGACTACTATTGTTTCACTGCTGACCCTGTAATTTAAAAATTCAAAGAACAGCTCAGAAATACAAAATCTCTCCTATACCTGTAAGACCTATTTAGTACTAGATGCAATAAAAAAAAAATCTTAAGTATGTTTACAGGCATTTTTTGCTTGTAAGTTCCCAAAACAGAATCCTGTATTGGAAGAGTATTTGGAGTTTTTTACTGGAGACGGCGTAAAATGCAACCAACTTACTTTTTAAATAAATACTGAAACAACTTTAATATTTTTAAAATTGTATTTAATTACAAAGTCCCATATTAATATTCTCTATCTACTAAAGGATTAATATGAAAAAAAATTTTGAATACTTTTGGTCAAAGGAAACTTGAAAAGCAACCAGAATGAAATGTTTGCAACAAATAGAGTATTTCTATAGTACTAGCCAAAATATATAGCCAAAAGAGATTCCATCTGCTTCTTTTGATTCAATGCATTTTGAGTAAACAGATACATATTTCAGCTCAGTAGCCTTAAATTTGCTTCATGTATTTTGCATTTCTCCAGCATTTTATTTTTATTGTTCTGGGTTTAGTACCTAAATGCTTTGTTTTAAATAAATCTCTATCCCCTAGCCAAGCTGGGGATGAATTCTTTTTTCCTAAAGCCATTATTATTTTGCCTATTGGCCTGATAAGAACAGTATGTCACTTTGTGGTAAAACATATACAAGTTTACACTTGAGGTTGACCACTGGTTTTCACATCTAGTGCATAATTTTGATATTTTTTTTTCAGGTGGAATTTGGATCATCACAATTTCCAGGCGGAGGAATTGAGCACACAGTGATAATGCACACACATCTTTCACACTTCATCCATAAAACTGAGGGGTCTGCAGCTCAGCCTGGCTCTGGCTCCAGCCCCACAGCGTCACACACCGTGGGCAGCTGCCCCGGAGCTGCGGGACCCCCACGCAAAGCTCCCAGCAAGCACAACTGCTCTCAGCTTGCAGGTGTCAGTAGACGGATGTCTCCAAAAATCAGACTGGGAGTTCAGAGCAGAGCAGCTGATGTAATCTGAAGTGAGGCTGAAGCAGCGGAGGCCTCTCCAGGCATTCGTGTCATTCTCAGTTGGGCGATTATTTCATAATATACAACAGCCGAGGGGTCCAGCTGGCAGTCTCCCTCCAGGCTGCCGCAGCTCCTCACCACCCAGTGCGACCTCTGTGGAAACACTCAACAGATGCCAGGGTAGAGAGCGAAGCCCAAAATCTAACATTTTCTCAGCCAAGCACTCAGGCTGGCGAGCTCCTGTCTCAGCAGGACCTCTGCGAGGTGTTCCTGCGCCGGCATCCCATCCCTGCGCTGGAAAAGCTGGACCGCCCCAAAACACCAACAGCGAGGAAGGACACCTCCGCTTGCCCTGCAAGGCGCTCTGCCCATGCAAATGCACAACTGAAGAGCTGAGAAATCTTACTGACGGTCCACTGGCTGCATAAAGCTTGTTTATTTGACTTTCGCCATATCCATCAAAAGCTGAACTGTCGGACCTGACAACTGGCTGCTGATTTATGTTGCATGTGCTGCAGATGGCACAGCTGTGGCACACAGCTCAAATGCAGCTGCTGGCTATGTTTTTTTTCTCCTTGCATTTCCAACACTAGGAAGCAACACTTGGCTATCTCTGGGCAGCTCTTGAGTCAGAGTCTGGCCCTGCCGCTGTCTCTGTTCAGGCTCTTTGCCAATGAATGGGACACAACACATGCTGTGAAACAGCAGCAGCCGGGGAGCGGTGCAGCTGCCCTGCGGGCACAGGGGGAGAACACTCCCCAGCTTTCACAACTGGTGCAGTGTTACATGATGAAGTGGTGCTAAGGGAGCGCCACAGTCCCGGCAAATCCTCCCAAGCCTCGAGTCATGGTTACGCGTGTGCAATAAAAAGCCTTCATCCAATATTAGCCAAGTAACTCTTGAGGCACTCATTGCAAAGCAGGGCTGGTAGCATCCTCGAGCCCTCATCTAATCCATCTTTCTATCCCAAAGCACGATCAATGCTCCCTCATGTTATAAACACATAAACAAAGCATTTCTGATCTGGTCTTAAAAGCCCCCAGTGATTAAGATTAAGATTCCTTAACTGTCAGGCCATGACCTCCAGTGCCTTACAACGGCTTTCTTGTTAAATCATTCTCTGATGTCTACCCACCTATGTTCTGATGCCTTTCAAGATTATGACTTCTTTCCCCTTCCACAAGAGGAACAATCAGATTATGCTCTTGCTCTTTCCAGATTCAAAGACTACTCCCTTGCCACCTTCTGGTGTTTTTTTGGCAAGAGGCAGCTGTACCTGTAGTCATCCCTGCGCAACTGTGCCCGCTCTAGACTTCACATCAGTTACCTCTGAGGTAATTTCCCTTAGCCAGTTTAGCCTACCCGTACAAAGACAGCTTCTCCACTTGCTTTTGCCCATCTTGATTTCTAGCCCAGAAGGAACTGAAGATAAACAGCCATGAAACTAAGGTAACTAACCCTTTCCTAATGTCTTGATTTAAAAACCTGAAACTGAACAGCAACTCCCACTGGTGTACGGAAGATGAGGCCAAAGATTCCCATAATCAGCAGCTCTCTGAACACCCTTCAATTCTTCCCCATCACAGTGAAAGAAATGAGGTGAAGAAGGTCACAAGGTGAGGAGGCTGTGGCACTTTACCGACACCAGTGTCATTCCGAGCTTGCAGCTTCTTAGAAATCAGAGCTACACCCTAAGCATAATCAGACACAGATGTCATGATCCTATTGCTTCAAGGGAGGACATGAAGCAACAGAAAGAATCTCTTCCTACAGATCAGTGAAATCAATTTCTGCAGTGAAGTAACAGCTCCGGGGGACAGGCACACCATGCTAAATCATTACCATAATCTTTTGCAACTCTAATCGTAAACAGATGTAGCTACAAATTGTCACCAAGAGCACTGCTGCTATTTGTCTGGACTTTGCCCAGTACAAACAAGCCCTAGTCCCTGCTTGATGTCCTTAAGTGCTGCCACTATATCTAGATTTTAATTTTTCCCCATCCACAGGAGATTTTCCTATTTTGGCTTTAATACAAAACAACTTTAAAAGCTGGGGTGTTTTTAAGGGTGGTGTGGTGGTGGCATGGAAGTAAGAGGAGGGCTCTGGGGACCCTTTTGGAAGATGACATTTAAGGTAGAATTGGAAGGGACAATCTAGCTTCAGAATGATCACATCCCACAGTGGTTCTAAAAAAATATTTATGTATTTTCAGGCCTAGAAAGGTCTTACTATAAAGCTGGGTTTTGTTTTTAAAGCTATCGCTTCACTATCCATACAGCTATTTTTCTACTTCCATGTGCTTAGCTCAGCTTTATTTATTAATGTAAGGAGAAACAACAAGTAGTCGGCAGTAGACTGGTATCTCTCGGAGCCTTGAACATGGGCAAACCTTAGAGGTTAGTGCCGTGAGCTTCCATTTTCTCAACGAAAACTACTGAACCTTAGGAGGTTGATGCTGCTACACCTCACCTCAGCTCTTACCTGTGTGAGCAGTACAATTCGCTGATCCGTGAAGCCAATACTACGACCCACGTGAAACATGGTCAGAGCTCGACCTCTTTCCACAAAGGTAGACAGGCATCACACGCACAAGAAAATCTTCTCTGTGGGCTGTCTCGGATGCTGCAGGGCTTTAGAAGGCAATGGGAACTCCTATTCTGAGCCCTAGATCACAATTTCCATATTGTTCACTTTGATTCACATATCAAATCCCTGCTGAGGACATTAAGGAGAAAATTAACTGTTCACTTCTGTTTAAAGTGCTCAAACTAAGCAGCACTCCAGGCATGATTCTAGAACTCATCTTCACAAACTTAGTAAACATCACACAAGCTATTAGTGGGAAAAAAAAAAAATTATGTGTCCCCAACCCTGAAATGACAAGAGAAAACAAAACAAGGGAGCAAAAGCCAGTGACCTAGCAGATGTAAAGAAAGTCTGTCATCACTGTACTTGTACCACCAAAGAGAGGACTCCAGGAAAAAGCACAATCCAGAGCCTGGACTGGGAAAAAGAAGAAAACTAGACTTCCTGAGCAGTTCAATTCAAAGTGGTAATGGTCAAACAAATCCTCACAGGGACATCTCCTGGTGAAGGTGCCATCTGGAGTCCAGTTACAGGTGTGTGTCACATATGGAGAAAGAACTGACAAAGAAAACAGTAAGTTTGGGGGTTATTTTATGAAAAACAGGTGACGTTTACAAATACAAGGCATCATGAACCCCTAAAAATGAGCATGCTTCCTGGAAGGTCACAACTGTGCCATCCAACAGCAAGAAGAGTAAGTCAGGAAGCTGCAGAAGTACGCAAGAACTCCAAAATGTTTTACTAGTGCAAATAAATAGACAACAGAAGGAAAATCTTCCACACGGGCCACTTCAGCTGAACTGGAGTTTGCTGGGCTCTGGCATCTCAAGAGTCAGCATATCAATCTGCTTTGAGAACTCAGCCTCCAAGGCATTCTAGTGGGAGAGAAAACCAAGAGGAATCAGTGACCATGAAACAGTTTTCTTACGTTCCTGCTAAACAAACATATCTACAATGATCAAACCTTGGGATATTATTAGCAGCCCAAGATTAACCCAAGTATTGAACTGGAAGGTCTCACTACTGCAAATGGCAGCAGCCTCTGTAGACAACTACAGAGAAATCTCCAAATGAAGGGCTAAACAAGCTCAGTTGCCTTTACACTGTGCCCCAATGGGATATTAGACACCTTCAAGCTGAACAGGTACTCTCCAGAGGTGAGTATTCTGACCTGGTAAAAGCCTCAGCCTGGTAAAGTGAGCTTGTATTTCTGAATCAAAAACAAGTGGCTTACCAACCTGAGCAGTCCCACCTGAAAATGTACAAGATACTCTCAATTAGCTGTGATTTTTTTATCACAGCTTTAAGGCTTATCACTGAATACCTTGTGCTTTATCTATGAGCAAGCAGACAGTAGCCCAAAGAAACAGACAGGTTTTATGCTCAAATGTGGCCCAGCTCACTCAGAAAAGCTACCTATGAACTCCCCAAACAGCTTTATGTGTGAACATTTCCCGAAACAAGCAGATGAAAGAGGCATTATGTTTTATAGGGGAAAGTCCCCATTGCAGTCTACAAGGCAGCTGTTAGATAAAATATGGGCCCTAGTGTCCTCTGAGAGTTCAGGAGCAGCAAGGAAGGTTGTGAGACCAAGAAGCTGCAATGCAGCTGAGTGAATAAACATTCTGACAGGTGAAGCAGACAAAATCCAGAGGGATATAGATATCTAATCCCCACTGATACCATTATGCCCAACTGCCTTTGTAGCTTAGATATCATTCCTCCACCAGTTCGTCCTACCAATATGCACAGCTTCTGCCTTACCAGAGCAGAATTTCCCTCTAGAGATCATTAAGACTACAATCTGAGGTAGATAAATCTACAACCAGTATATATAGCTTGTTTTGGAACGACAGCACTCCTTTAAATCTCCATGAAAGATAAAAAGCTCTTACCAGTTCTCGTTTTACTTCTTCAATCTTCACTTGTGCAAGGGAAGGATTCTAATGAGAGAAAGTGACATAAAAATCAATTTCAGCCGGAAACAGAGTCCCTGCATCATTGCAAGAGTCTAATGATGTGCTGCAGGAGAATTCAGGGATAACGAAATCAGTTTTGTGTACACCCTTCACATCCATAAGGTACTGAAATCAAAAGCCTACTATCAGTTTGGTTTGAGCAATCGCATATTTTTCAAAAATCTGGTATGGCCTAAAGTCTCAAAAAAAACCCCCCACACCAAAACATTTTTAGCAATTTTCCAAACCCATCAAGGAACTGGATTTTAAACATATCCATGCATGAATTTTCCAAAGCACAATAAGCTTGCAAGGACAAACCTTCCTCCCTCCTTCTGCCTGCACTAGAAGCGAGGCAGCGGGGCTCTCCCTGTCTCCACTGACAAGAAGATGGGAGGGAGGGGGGAACTGGGGAACCTAATCCAATTTGAATGTCCTGTTTTGCTTGAGGAAAGAAGGCAGCTGCCTCTTTGAGTAAGATGGAGTTAAAAGAGAAGCAGTGCCACCCTCTCTCCCTTCATCCTTTTCTCCTAGGAGGGAGACAGTAGTAGTTGTTGAGAGGCAGGAACTCGATGGAGGAGCTAAAGAGGTGAAGAGAGAAGCATGGCCCAGCAGACAGGTCCCTAGTTCATAATACAAGAGATGTGATTAATCGCAGAGTTTCTATAGGTTTCTGGACAAGCCTCTTGGTTTCTCTGGACCTCTATGCCCCATTTATAAGAACTGGAGTAAATCTTTTTCACCTCTTACACAGAAAGGTCTGAGGTTAGCTCTATTAAAGGCTGTGGGGTGCTCAGATGAGGAGGTAACAGGGGACGTATCAGGTAACTCCAATACAAAACTATAAACAGTTACAATCATATTTAATAAAACCAAAACCCATTCAACTAATCACACTCCAGGTTTTGCAACTTCTCCCCTGGATGACAAAGAGAAGAATCCTTAACACCTATCTGTAAAAAGGAATGGCAGCCTTCCAAAGGAGACTGGAAATACTTGGGTTTAGTCATCCCAAGTATCACAGGTGGCGATGTACCGATGCCACACAAAGCCAAGGCCTTCTGTTTCATGGACTAAAGTCTTGTTTACCCATGATTTCTTTAAGCCACTACAAAGTTGTTCACAAATCACCCTTAACTGGAACAATCTTCTGTAACAAGCATTCTAATTTGAAAAAAGTAGAATCCCTTTATAAAAGATGCTTCCCACAGCAGTCTGATAGTAACTCCTAGCACAGGGACCAATAGTGACAATGGCCAAAATATAAAATGAAGAAGAGATACAGAGACAGGGGCTTTCAAAACTGCAATTTGGTCACCTAAATGAGAAACCTGCATTTTCAGAGAGCTGAGTACCCAGCATCCTCAAGAGAAATCAAAATTACGAAGCAGCCAGTACTCACACTAGCTAGAGTACTTGTTTAGGGGACAACACCTACATTTGGCTATTTCTTCATAATTATTAAAATTTTGCTCAGAGCTCCAACACCTGCACAATGTGCTGTGTCCACCATATTGACAACCTGATGACATGTACAGCTAATATATTGGTAAATCTCAAAAAATTTGTTATACTAAGGAATTACATTTTCTTCCACATTTCTTTGTCTAACTTCTAGCTAATTTACCTCGATACTGAGCTCACCCAGCAAATCTGTGCGTTTTGTTAGAGCAAGTTTGCCGGGTAAGCATACTTAATTTCTTGGCTTTGATTAATAAATAGCCTTCTGTTTAAGTAAAGTCTTCTGTTTACACCATTAATAGACCTGTAGGACATCTACCTGTTCACTGAAATCATCACAACAATAGCCTTTACATTCTGAAGTCCATCAAAATTAATCTAATGGCAAATACAATAGAACAGTGGAAAAAATAATTACAGGAGTTAAATCTAGGTAGGACTCCAGTTTCTTCTTCAAAGGCACAATTTCTTCCTGCAGTCCAGCCAGTTTCTGTGAAGAGAGCAAGGCAGATTATATTCTATAGTCTTACTTGTAGAAGTGACGTAAATCAGTGAAATAGATCCACAATTATCTACAGCATTTCAGAATCCACAGATGTTGGGGAGAGCTTTCACAATCCTTAAAACCCATGGAAGATGAAAGCTCTGTTATTCATTCCGTTATCAGTCAAACCCAGCTCAAATTTTACACAGAGGTATCAATGAGTTTTTCTTCGTTCCCAAGACATCTTCAGATGTCTTTTCTTACAGTATAACCACCTGATCTCACCTCCTTGAAAGGAGAGGGGATTTGAAATGAGAATCCACCAGATAGAGGATTTTCTCTGTAGGCCAGAGAGGACTGAGCCCCAAGGAAGGAAATACACTCTCATGCCTATGGCTTCTGTGTGAAAACAGTTTTGCACACGTGGTCATAAAAAAGACAACCCTTACACTTGCACTGCTTTGCTTATTCTGTTAACAAGGGGAGATAATTTCTCTTAGGGGCTGAAAATTGAGTACCTTCCACAGTCCTCAACTCTTTTCAAATAATCAACTTAAAAGTGAAAAAAACCCACAAAACCAGAAAAACTAAAGCGCTCCGAAGATAAGTCATTTGTGCTGCCCAATTCACTGAGCTCTTGGCAAAGCAGACACAGAAATGTCAGGGAGTCAAACCTGCCCTTACGCTCAGGTTCTAGAAGATGACAGGTCTAGAAAATTGCCTATGACTTTTTCTATGTAAAATACCAAAAGAAATTATTTTTGGCTAGTATGCTTCTGAAACACTGTGCAATGTAAACATTGCCACCCAGTGCTGGTTCATGAGAACGACAACATAAAAATCAGGAAACCTGTCCCACTGTTCAACTTAACCGACCTGCAGGAAAAGCTAGAAAAAGAAATGGGGAGAAAGACTAAGTTCTCATTACAGTAATAGCAAAGAATATTAAAATATGGTGAGTGCAGACAGAACAACACAAATACATGTTACATGTGCACAAATGCTTCAGCACAAAGCTCGAGAATCTATAGCTAGTAACTCAAGAAATGTGCTTTTTCCTTTAACAAATTATCTCGCTGGGCTTACAATACAGCTGAGAAATGTTATATTTAGAGACACAAGAAAAAAAAAAAGCACAGTGGTTCAGAATTTGGGTTTCACTTGACCTCCTCCCCTTACCCTGAAGCAGATTTATTTCACACAAACTAGAAAGAATCACCTGGGTCATTCTACCAAGTAATTGCAATACCCAGGTAGCCATGTAACAGGATATAGTCCACAGAATATCCACTGTTTATAAGACAGATCACGGGCTGCCAATTTTCTTTCAGTGGCAGGGGATTTATTCCGTGGAAATTCTCTAGTAGGCTATATTCCCAATTACAGAGGCAGAAAGAGAAAAGAGGGAAAAACAAAAGGCAACAAAACCAAAGATTCCAATTGTTCCCCTCAATCAGTTCCAGAAGGAAAACTTCTTCCCAAGTCCAAAATAAGCCCACATCTAACCCTGAAGAAAAGGTACCACTTCAGCACCCAGATGCTTCTCAGTTTCCAGGAGAGACAAAGCTATCCAACATACTCCAGTTCAGAGATAACCATCTACAAGATTTCTATTTGTGCTTCTTTTTACTATTAATATTTGTTCACATAACCAAACAGCAAACTACGTTTCCTGAAACCACCCAACAAACAAGCCTGCTCTGTACCACCGTAGAAATATCCATCTTGTACCAAAAGACCTACCTCAGACAGGCTCATGAGCGACTCGTGTGTCAGCGACTGGTCCAACCCCGTGGCAGCAAGCTGCTCCTACAAACAGGAAAGGGTTCGTTCATAACTGACCACAAAATACAACGGGGAGGAGAAAGATTTTTACCATTTCCTTGGGTTTTGATCTAAACAGGCCAACAAGAATGCAGTTTGTCAACACCAGAAATATCTATTTGAACCACAGCTATAGCTAGTATATGAAATCAGTTGCTACTAAAATTTGTATCAAGAATAACAAGTCTTTCCAGAAAACTACTGGGAGAAGAGCACATGGCAAGGCTGGGAAGAGGCTTCTCAGTAAAATGTCATCAACAATGTTTTCCATCTCATATTTGTCAAGGTATCGGACAGCATCCAAGTGTTAAATAAAGCATTCACATATCCTTCATCACATAGGAAAGGTGAAGAAGACAGTGCAAATTCTGCCTTCTGTGTTTAATCATTTATTAATTTCAAAAAATGGCTATGTTCAGAATTTTGACACACAGTTTACCTCAGTGAATCAGCTGCTCTACTGGTAGCTGTCTGTATACTCTTATAGGACAGTACCTCACAATAAGCACAAGATAGTCCAAGTTAATGCAGTTCCCAGTGAAAGAAGAGAAAGTGTCCCTGCATTTATCATAGGATGTCCTGGGGAGAGACCATGACTATAGCAAGAACAACTGAAGTGTTGTAACACGTTGTCCTGTTAGCACGAGTCCTCAGTCCTGGAGTTTAGGAAGCTCCTGGGATGTCTCTGTAACTACATGTTTGGTCCCAACCAACCATGACTGTGCCATCCTGTCACAATGCCTTGTTAGAAAATTCCTTCCATCTACCTCAGCAGCCTTGATCCTGATTTTTAAATCCTCAGATTTATTTTTCAGAAACTTCAAGTTCTGGGATCGGCTGTCAGCTTTGGCCTTTTCTACCTCCAGAAGTTCCTCTGCTTTTTTAAGATCCCTTAAAAAAAAAAAAAATACAAACAGAAACAAACTTTTACATTCAAAGAGATACCAGTATACCAATACTGCTTAATTATCTACGCTCAAGCTAAAACCTGTAATACAACCAACACAAGAAGGGAGAGAATGGAGAAAAAATTGTATTTCCCTGTGAGTTTTCCCGGTGGAAACATCCACAGCTGTTACATCCAGAGTCCCAAAGGCCAGGGAAAAAAAAGAGGCCAAGGGGAAAGCCAGCTGCATAAAAGCAAAGAGTAATAGTCTTCTGTATAATTCCCTAATTTAGTTAGAGACCTGCTACGCAAGCTAAACTTACAATCACAGAGAGCAGCCATGACAAACCTGCACAAAGCATACAGGTCTGGTATCTTTGCTACAAGCAGTGCCACAATTACTACCTTAAAAGACAAAACCCAGAAAATAATTGGACTGGAAGGGGGCTGTGGAGATCATCTGGGTCAATCCCCACTCAAGGCAGGGGTTGATCCTGCTGTGCTTGGCAAAGCACCTCAGATTACATCCTCTAGGGAACAGACTTGATACCCTTTTTTTTTTTTTTTTAAGTCTCCCACACACTGGTTAAAGGAAATTCTTACCTGGGAACAGGTTTTGTTTTGCCTGACTCCTTCACCTCTGACTTCAGAGCCCACACTAAATGTGGTAAGAAAATCAGGTTTGCCTTCACCCTCAGACGAAGGCAACCGGTGGAGGATGCAAGCCCGTATCCGACAACTGCTTGTAGACCATTTTTGGTTTAAAATAACGAGTTTGATTGTATCCCGAATCTCCTCTGATTACTGAATGTGTCCACAGCACATGGCTTTCGATATTGTGAATTAGAGATGTGTCAAAAATCTGAAACTATCTGTGTTAGTTATCACAACCAATGTTCCACATTGCAGAGATCAGCAGTATTGCTTACATCTTTCCCCTTTCTCATCCATTACTCACTCCTCTAACTGCTTTTCCAGCATCACCGCTGCAGTTAGTTTTTTCCTGAGGTTGCTCAATTCCAGTTCCATTTCTCTGTTTTTTGATTCTGTTGCATACAGCTCCGAAGTCATATCATTGATGGCAGAGAAGAAGCTGGTAAAAAAAAAAGAGATTCAGTGGGAATGCTCAGGATTCAGCTCTTCTGAAACTCAGAATTATTATTTTCTCTACACTTTCCACAAATTACTTTTTTTTTTTTTGTTCTCATAATATATCAGATAACTGCCAGCTATTTTAGAAGAGGAAAGTAAAATAAGTAACTAAGGGTATTTGCTTCCCTTAACTAAGTTTTTGTGCGGAAGCAGAAACGGCCCAGCAATCTGAGTAGGAGGAAGTAAACAAGACCTAGCACTCTAGTGAATATAACCACTGGGTTTGACATGATCAGATGCTCCACTCCTGGCCTGCCAATATGCCTTTGAGAGAAACTGTGTTCAGTCCCTGAAAACTCACGTCCCCGAGATATGCCCAGCAGTATTTCAGTCTCTTCCTCTTCCCAAATGGTTCAAAGCTGCTACCCCCTCCAGCTCAGGGGAAGAGCTGCAAGAGCCAAGCTCCTGAACATCATACAAAAATTGGATTCCAAGGCAGATTTTGGCCCTTCCTGACTGCCAGTGCTTAGCACAAACCTGCTGTGTTATGGGTCAAAGCCAGGCTAGGGAGAGGGGCCCAGGAAAAGCAGACTAACAGCTGCCATTTCTCTGTGGCTGAGCCCAGGAAATCTCCTTACATTAACTGAGGCCAGGCAAGAGAGGGAAGAAAGAGGAGCCGAGACAAAGACCAGTTACAGTTCCCCAGTCCTTGCCTAAGCAGTATGAAACCTGCTCTAGCTTGTGCTACCTGGCATGGCAGTCTGAGTGGCAGCATCCTGCAGCCACTCACCACAAAAGCAGGGGCAAAAGAGGGAATTAACTGTGGCTGAGGCACCTCTCAGGCTTCAGAGACTTCCTTTGCTGGGATAATCAAGAGTTAGAGCTTTGTGCTCAGTTCTCCTGTCCTCCAAAGCTGCCCAAGGGGTGCAAAAGAAGCTGGACAAGTAAGGTTCTTGGTACGAGAGTCAAGTTTGAAACTGTTGAATTGAAAAACCAGAAACAGCACAGACCATCACTCCTGATGCACAGTGAAAATAATTACCTAGCAAGAGAAGTGTCCTTCGTTTCAAGTGTCATTGCGCTGTCTACCAAGACACTGAGGTAGCTGGTGCCTTTGCTGGACAGACTGGATAGGGAAAGACCCAGGCTTTCTGCAAGAAGGCCCTCTAGATAGTTAGCTGAAAACCAAATACAACCCAAATTAGTAATTTCATTTTACTGTTCTTTAAGGCCTAGATAGGACTCTCTCTTTTAACATGTGCATTAAAAATGTAATTATGGTCCCCTGAACCATTCACTTGCTCCAAAAAAACCACATTATCAAACACTCAATCTAGACAGCTCGAGCATAACTTAATCATCTCACTGTTGTTTCAGATTCCTCAAGTGCTTTGCTTAACAGTGGATTAGCACCAGCTCAGACTCTTAAATCAGCTGTAGGGTTGCTTCCCTGTCTATCCAGCCAATATTTCAATGCTGTGCTACTCAGCCCAGCAGGCTGGGAGGTTTTAGCAATTAATCTGCTTGTCCGTATTTACAGCCTGCTCAAGATGGCTTAAAAAATTGCTCTTGACCAACCTTATGTCACCGTAAATTTTGTTGAAAAGAAGGCATGGAATGCATTGTAGTAAAAGCCGTACCAGAACAAAAGCTGAGTCCATTCCTATGTATATTTGTTTGAAAGATTTTAACAAAGACAATCTTCAGGGTCACTGAGAAAAACTAACTTTGATGGAACTGAGAACTGGAGCTTCAGACTCACCTTCTGCTTCATATTCTGTTGCCTTCTGCTTCATGTCCTCTATCAGCAAAGAAACATCCCTGTCTCTGGCTTCATTGCATTCTACAAGCTCATACAAGATATCAATTGTCCTTGCATTCACTTCGTACTGTGGAACAGGCCGATTCCCATATATTTTCTTCAGCCATAAAGTAACCTGCCAGAGAAGGGAAAAAACAGAGGTAATGGTCAAGTGAAATGACAGAAAATAGCTGATAGATGTGAGAAATATAAAGTGCTGCAAGCTCTGCATTCCTGAAGAATAACTCCTGCTATATCAGCTGAGGCATGGGTGGAAAAAGGGAGTTCAACTTCCTTTGTCTCTTCTTCAAACACCCTCTGTAGTTTAGAAAACCGTTTCCATTTTAATCTCCCTCATTTCTCGGGACACCTGCTTATCTCCAGGTGATGAAATTCTAATCTTTTTATTCACATGACATGTTTGTTACAGACACACTAATGATCCAAGAGATGTTAAGTGGGTATTTGGGCAGCTGATAAAAACTGCATTAAAGCAGCATGGGATAAAACTGCCCAAACCACAATCATTGGGAACAGTCTCTATGGGCTAGCGGGGCAGAAAGGGTTACTTCAGTGTGCAGGCAGGAGCCCTGCAGAGCACAGTTTCTAGCACTGAAAAGAAGGTCAGGAATGGGAGAGAGATTGTGACTGATAATAACTGAACACATGGAAGTTCAACACTGAGGTAACAAATTCTTGTCTAAGGCTCTCTAAGCAACCTGATAGAAAAGGACCCAGCCTTATAACTTAAAAAGACATTTCTTTCTAGCATATCCTTCTTTACGCTTCTACCGTACCAGCATCTCAGCTACATACACTGCACACAGCAAACATCACCCTGAACTATTCCGGGGAGAAAACCATCAAGCCCTCAGAAGCAGACAGCACTAATTACGTGTAGATGAAAACTCTAATACTGCAAGAAAGCCAAGTTGGGGAACAAAGGATGAATTACATCTTTCTGCCACTCTCTCCAGCGAGAAAGATTTAAAATGCGTAAAACTTCAGGCGCCCGAGACCTCCATAACCTAGCGTCTTAAACCAGCCCTATACTTAAAGGCCAGTGAGCTGGGGCTGTTATCTAGTAGGCAGCAGAGGATGAAGCGGCCGAAGGGAGGCTCCGCTGCTGCAAAACCCACCAGGGACCACATCTTGCCCGTCCCCCAGCGCTCAGAGGGGCAAGAACCGACACGGGCTCGTTTCTGCCCTTAAACCTCGCACGTCCGAGTGCCAGACAAGCAGAGCGAGAGCTGCCAGGGTCCCCTAAAGCCTTCAGCGACACGGCTCGGGTGTGGAAGGGCCCAGACAGACGCTGCCGGCAGAGCGGGACGAGGGCTCCGACAACGCACCGGGGCCGGCTCCGCGCCCGGGGTGTGTGTGGGGGGAGACCCGGCGCCTCCCCCCCCCCTACCGCTAGGCCCTGGGCCCCCGGGGCGGGTGAGGGGCAGCCGGGCCCGGCCTAAGACGGCCCCAGGACGGGGCCCACCTCCAGTAAACCCCGCACCGAGACAGCCGCGCCCCGGCCCGGCCCCACCGGTACCCGCTGGAGCTTCTCCTCCATGGCGGCCTCCCGCCGCCTAGCGAACTGCCCGCCTCCGTCCCGGCTTCCCCCGCGCGCCGCGGGGCCTGACGGGAATTGTAGTTCAGGGCGTGGCCTCCCCTAATGCCCGGCCCAGCAGGACCCCGCCCACTTCCCTAGTTTTAAATTCTTTAAAGGCGGGGGGGGGGAATCAGCTCAACTCACTGGCTGCAGCCAACGCTTTTACCAAAGTGGACTTAAACGCTCTAAATGCTTTGAAAGAGTTTGCTTTTCCCCTATACCCTGTATTTTTAAGGAAATAGTCTCGAATCAGTAACATCATTTGAGGGGATTTTGGGTTTTGATGGATGGAACTGTATGTTTCACATATATCACAAGGCAAATTGCAAATAACAGCGTATAAAGGCCTTCATCAAAAAGGCTTAAATCGTATTTTTAAGTTAAAGGGCAACAACTGAAATTTGAACAGCTGGTATATCACTGCTTACATAAATTCATATAAAAGCTGTGCTCCTTATTAGAAAATATGCCATAAAAATGCATCTTCTGAGTCAAACCCTTTACACAATTATCAAGCAACCACCTTTCTTCAGCAATACAGAAAAAGCACAATTGCATGAGACTTAAATGGGTTATTGAAATCACGGTGGGTTTTTTTTTTCAGGCAGTAGTACAGAATTTGAAGTGATTACCAAAATAATCAGCATAAGAAACACTGCTGAAGAACCGTGTTTGATGCGATGCATGCCAAAATGGTTGAGGATGTTTCACTCAACCTTTTCAATTCCCAGAAAGGTCTGCTGTGATCTGTGCTTTACTAACCATTCTGGATTACCGCGGGGACATGATCACACTGTGTCTGCCTGAGTTTCGGCACTTTCTCCCCAGCAGACTAAATCCTATGTCTCACCTATGGGACTTGTTGCAAAGCGTGCTGTCCCTGCAGGGTTAGGCCTTGGTAGATGGATCATAATGAGGGAGAGATCCCTGTCTGCTGTAAGCACAACTGCCTCTTGCAGCGAGATTCTTCTCAGCTTGCGACAGTGTGACCCTGTCACCGTCACCTCTGATGGGGTCAGCTTTTAGGTTTCATGTATGTAAGACAGCTTGTAACTCCCTGAAACAAAGATTGACAGAAGCAGCCTGAAGGAAGCATGAACAATGGTGAGAGACAAAACTTGGTAAAGATAAGGGGGGTTGGGGGCAGAGGCTCTCCAAGGAATATCTCAAACACTCACAAGTACCCTGAACTGAATAATGCAGGCCTGGTGCTCAATGCACTGATGAGGCGGACACTTGACCCATGTGGGAAGAATAGCAAAGGATGCGGCTGGGGGAGGAAGCCCTGTGGAGACAGGACAGTTCTGCCCTGGTGTAACTTGTTAAGTTTGTTAACTCTCTGGTTTTGGGGCCATCACGTCAGATGAATGACCTTCACCTCATTACCCGTGAAATACATATTAAAAGTTGACGCCCCTGCATATGCTAATGAAGATTACAGAGATTGTGCTAAACATATGTGACCACCGCATCCCTGTCTCAACCCAAATCATGCTACATGTCACCTGGAGGAAGGGGGAAGAACCTGAAACAAAGCTGTCACCGTAGCAGGAAAGTGGGTCATACTGATATGGCAAACATAAAGGGGGAAGATAGGTACCACTAAAATAAGGAGAAAAAAAAAAAAGGAGAAGAAAAGAAGAAAGAAGAAGGAAAGTGTGTGGAATTCTGCAGAAGAGCATTCTTGCAAACCAGAAACCCCGTTGGCTGGACCAACGCTGGAACCAGGACCAGTGATTTCTTTATGTCCCTCTCTCTCCAGTTCTCTTTTCTCTTAAAGTAACACAAAGTGTACCTTACGACTTGCCATAATTTGTTATATACCTAACCAATTAATGGAAAACCTAGTTTAAGACATACACTAATCACTGCGGGAATCTAGTAGATGTTTGTATACGGACCTTGAGAGTTATCTCACCTTAGTCCACACTGCTTGGGATTGGCGAATCTGAGTCACTCACCCTCCTCTTCCGAGTGGGTCGTGACAACGCATTACCAGCAGACTGGCTAAAAAATTTAAGCTCCTCTGTAGCATCGGTAAGAAAACCAACACAGTGCCGCACACCGCATCCCTTTTACCCCCGTTTTCCACGCTTTTCTTCCGCCACCAGCACTTGCTACAGGATGGGGCGGCTAGGAGCATGAGCACCCGCAGCTCCCACAGAAATTGAAATTTGAGCACCCCCCCAAAAAGGGGAACACTCCCCAACCCCCCCCAGCCCCTCGTACTCCTGCCCCCCAGCCCTCACACCCCGACCTCCACCGCCTCACACCGGCCGCGGCCCGCCTCATGCCGCCCCAACCCCGCCCCGCCGCCGCTCTCCGCCCCTTCCGCCTGCCGAGGGCCATTTCAAGGGCACTACCGCAACGGGGTGTTTTTCTAAAAGCCCCATTTGGGTGGTTTTTTTTTATTTTTTTAAAATATATAGAGATATATTCCCTCAGCGCTCTGAGGCGCAGGGAGGGAGAAGGCGCTACCACACCTGAGGGGCACGATGGCGGCGGGGGAAGCACTTCCGGGCCTCGCCCCGCCCCGCGCTGTGGGCGTGGCCTCGCCGCCAACCGGGGCGGAGCGCGCCGCCGCCATTTTGTAGAGAGAGAGCGGGGCCGGCAGCCGCCTCACGTCTGCTTCGGTTTTCTCCGGAGGAGCCGCCGCCCGCCGCCGCCATGCTCTCCGCCCGTGTGGCTGCCGCTCTCGCCCGCTCCTTGCCGCGGCAGGCCGGCCTGGTGAGCACTCTTTCTTTTCCCGGGGGTGGGTGGGCGGTCGCAGCCGCCCGCCGGCGCCATCTTGGGGGCCGCGGTGACATTGAGGGGCAGCGGCCTCCCGCTGTCGGGAGTCTGGGGCGGGCTGTGTGTGGGGGGGATCGCCTCAGGGCTGGGTGACAGCGGGGCCCGATCCTCTGATGAGGAACGGGGGTGCCCTTGCCTTGGAGATGGGTCTAGGGGTCGGCGTGTCCTTCCCCGGGATGCGGATTGGTACTGTTGGGGTTCAGGTTAACGTCTGAAAGCTGCTAGATCCCCGTCAGGGTTAGGGATTTGAGCTGTGAGGCTTTCCCAGGTGGCATTTTTTTTTTCCCCCGTGTTTGTGGGGAGAGCGAGGGTGCGAAGATCTGTCGGGACCTGTTCCTAGCCGGTGTCCCTTGTGAAGGTGAACGGAGGAGAGGCCTACCCCGGCTTTCAGAGAAACGGCGTTAAGGCTGCATGGGACTGCACTGGGAGCTTTGCTTGGGATGTAGGATTGTAATCTTTTAATGCGTTCATTATCACAGATATTTTTTTTTTCCGTTTCTACTATCGTATTTGTTCTAGCCCTACTTCAGCAATTCTGTAGTTAGATTTTTCTTAGAAAGGCCAACCCTTAGAAGACACGATCTTATTTCTCCCTTATGCAGAACCGTGAGGGATGTGCTGATTTCTTTACGCCCCAAGCTTTTGACGTTTAGCACAAAGGTGGCCAAGGAGAGGAGGTGTTGCTTTGGGAGCTGCTGCAGTGCTGCGATGGTGACATCAGTGCAATGCAGAAAAATGCAGCAAGTAATTTAGAGCAAAATCCTTTACCGTTTATCCTTGCTTAGTAGTGCTGGACTTGGTTCCATAACTTCAATTTGTGAATGGAGTGCTGTGGAGCTCAAGGCAAAACTGTGACACGTTAAATGTATAAGCTTATGATCAAAAATTTTGGCGTGTTGTCTCTTAACACTTTTTTGAATGATAGAGGAAATCTCACTGTTACTGAAATAATTACTTATTTTAGATTTCCAGAAACACCCTGGGTGCAGCATTTGTTGCTACAAGAAACATCCATGCCTCCAAAACATGCTTTCAGAAAACTGGTGAGTCTGAGAAAGGTCTTCATATAAGAGTGCAGTTTAAGAACTTGCTCTATCAGACAAAAAGGAATGTGAATATGGAGTGTGAGGGGTGTGTGTGTCAGTTGACAAAACACTTGGGGACATTTATGTACTGATAGTATTTAACAGTGAACTGTTACACAGATGCATCCAGGAGACTTCACTTTAATAACTATTCAAATTATGCCCACACCAAAAGAGTGGTCACATGTCAGTTGGCTTACACAGCTTACCTGCTTCATGAGGATTTGATTCAGTCTTCAACTCCTGCAGAATTATTTGAAAAAAATGCCTCAAATTCCAGTTTCCTGTCTTGTTTGTAATAGTGTGAAGGAATGGATAACTTTTGCAGGCCAGCCTGGGTTTGACCTTGTGTCCTTGAGTATAACTTTTTTGCTACCAGCATCTTGGTGTTTAGAGCAGGCAGTGGCACTGCATAGCTGTGTTTGTGGTAGTGGTTCATGTACAATTTTTGAATTGGTTTAGAGTGATTAAAAGTATTAGGAAATAAGTTTCAGGGTGCTATTTACTGTTTCATAGCTGAGGAAATAAAAAGTTGTTGGAGGTACACTGCCAAATAAATTTGAGGAAGATGGAGAATGCATTTTTGTAGCTTATATCGAAAAACTTCCTCCTTAAATGTATTGAGTTCCTTTAAATATGTTTGGATCTTGGATTACAAATCAGTTGACAGCGTGTTTTGATGCCTCCAGTTGAAGTAAGTGCTCTGCAAGTGGAGCTAGCATGTCTGTTCTTTCTGAGCTACAGCTAATTATTTAGTCGAATCGCTTTCAAGGGAGAGAGATTGTTGATAGTGTAGGACATAATGAAAGAAATTGATAGCTAAACACCCATCAGCGTTTTGATTGAAGCTGGCTTGTAATGATGAGTTGAAGCTGCTTTTATTGGCTGTGAATACAGAAGCTGTTACTTCTTATGCATCCTATGTAAGCAGGAGTGTTGCTTGCCAGACCTTGTGGCATACCTGAAAAAGAGTACCTTGGCTTGTGAATTCAAGAAAAGCTTACTGAGTTCATACTGTGCCTTTATGTGCTAAATGTGGTTTCAAATATCTCTTTCCAGGTACTGCTGAGGTATCCTCTATTCTCGAGGAACGTATTTTGGGAGCTGACACCTCTGCTGAACTT